GCAATGTTTCTCATCTTCTAGTTGTTCTTCTAATGTTAATAAGACAGAGAATCAGAAGTAAACTTACTCCATTTGTTGATTATATTGTGACCCAAAATATCAGCAGATGTTACTCCTTTTAAGTGAGCATATGCCCCATTTGAGGAATTTTTGGTGATAGCAGGATTTTTTCGTGGAAGAATGACACTTTTAGATTGCTCTGGGTACTGTCATGAAGCGTCGGATGGATGGCACATATGCTCTGTTGAAATTATAATGCCAGCTTATAAGGAAGTTTCATACTTCTGCCAAAACTGCTCTGCAGCCTGGTTGAGCTTTCTGCTGTAGAATAGTTTGGCTGGGTTCAGAGTCCCAGCTGTAACCGATGTCTATAATTCTTGCATTTTTTTTCTGCATTAAAAAAAGGAATTATTGCTTAATAGGCCTTTCTACTTCATTAGTCTATAGTTTACTTCTTTACCTGCAAATCTCAGTGTAATATTAGTGACTAACTTCACAATCTGGTTTAAAAACTAGGGAGCTGATTCATGTTAATGCTAATGTTGTAAGCTAAAGACATGGTATTTATTTCCAGTAATGTAACTGCTGTGACTACATGCCAGTTAAGGCTAGTATGCATTAGCTTTAAAATCTTTCAGACTATAAATGGAAAGTAGGCCTTCAAACCATAAAATTGACCATATTGAAGTCAGCAATGTAAATATTTGAAGTATTGTTTATGCCTATTTATGGAGTTGTGTCAACTTTCTAGGGCTGGTAGATGTACAAATGACAAAAAAATAAAAAAGCTACAGCCTGATCAAAATGCCACTGAAGTCTCAGAGAAGATTTTCTTAGTAATGGAGTTGATATGTATTTAGGTTAGACACATGAAAAATCTCATTTGAGGCAGTTAGTGAAACAGCCAAATTTATTATATATGTGATTTTAACTGTAAAGTTATCTGTTACTTTGTTAACAGTGTTTGAAAATAATTTCACTGATTTAAACCTCCCCAAAAATGAAGGGAACTAGTAGAAGACAGAGTTTTACATTGCTATTTTAGAGAAATAAAGAGCCTTTTGGATTAATACTGACTGAAAATTTTAAAACAGGACAATTTTTGCTGTCCTAAAGGGTGTTGTAGTACAGCTCTGACAGAGAGTAGATCACATTGCATGATAGTATAAAGAAGATATTCTGTTATGATATGTGTCCATAAAAGACAAAGCCAGCATGCCATATTAAAACTCTCTATGGTAAATCCTCTAGCAAAGGGACCTTTTGTTCTTTACTTGTACTTCTTTACATAAGGTAATTAATTTATTTCAAGTTGGAGAGCCCGTTTCTGAATAGCCTTAATTTTGACGTGTTTTTGTAGTGGTTTTTTTTTAACTTTGTTTGTTTAAGCTTCTGCCCCGAAGTTTAACTTCGAATTGTCTTGTATGCATTTGGTTTGTTGGGTTTTTTTGGTTTGGTTTTTTTTTTTTAATGGTCTAGGAAGTGCATTCTTTTTGTGTTTGAAAGGATAACTCCGAACATGCTCAACGATGGTGAGTTTTGAGGTACCTTGTAGTGCTGATTGCTAGAATTTATTTAACTCTTTTGCACACAGCTGGACAGGCTGTACTGAAGAGGCTACTCTGAAGTGGTAGGTGACTTCATGTACTGAAGCTTACATAAAATCTTTGAGATGCTAGGGGCACTCAGTGTGTTTAGAAAGAAATTTTCATGCATAGGATACTGTCAGGTTTATTCGTATATAAATTATTATCGGGGATGATTAAATATCACCAAAGTCTTATGCAGATCAATAAACTTCAAAGAAAGTGGTTAGGGACTTTCCAGAGTTGAATGCTTAATATTATGTACCCAGAATAATGACTAGATTACCTTCTGTTCATTTTTTGTTGGAGCAAATATAATTAGCATTCTTAAACAACACACACACACACACACACACACACACACAAAACAAATAGACTTACTAGGTACATCCACAAAAAGTTTAGCATGTAATTGTGGAAAAAAATTGTCCTACGGGTTTGTGCTGTTTTTTGCTGGGTTAATTTTCTTCATAATCATTAGTATGAGGCTATGTTTTGGATTTGTGCTGAAAATAGTGTTGATAATACAGGGATATGTTTATTATTGCTGAGCAGTGCTTACACAGAGTCAAGGCCTTTCCTGCTTCTCATGTCGCCCCACTAGCGAGGAGGCTGGGGGTGCACAAGAAGTTGAGAGGGGGAATGACTGGGATGGCTGACCTCAACTGACCAAAGGGATATTCTGGACCATAGGACATCACGCTCAGCAATACAAAGCTGGGGGATAAAGAAGTAAGGGGGGGATGTTTGGAGTTATGGCGTTTGTCTTCCCAAGTCACCGTTATGTGTGATGGAGCCCTGCTTTCCTGGAGATGGCTGAACACCTGCCTGCCCATGAGAAGCAGTGAATTAATTCCTTGCTTTGCTTTGCTTGTGCACACGGCTTTTGCTTTCCCTTTTAAACTGTCTTTATCTCAACCCACGAGTTTTCTCACTTACCCTTCTGATTTTCTTTCTCCCCCATCCCAGCTGTGTGGTGCTTAGTTGCCAGCTGGGGTTAAACCAGTGTTCTATGTCACACAGAACAGCAAAATGATCAGCAGTTGTAATGTTAGTAAGTCTATTGGTATGAATTAGAACTACCAGCTTCTTTGAGACACTTCTTATTTGGCAGCACTGTGTTCAGAGATAGACAGCTTCATGGCTTATTAGAAATTGTTCAGAAAATAAGAATAGTCCTTTGAATCTAGCATTAGAGGGGGAAGCCTTTGCTTTCTCTTGCAGCTGAGCTTGAATATCTTGTGCTGTTTCACAATAACAGGATAGATGAGTGAGAGGAATCATAGGATAATTTAGCTTGGAAGGGACCTTCTGAGGTCATCTCATCCAATGTCTTGCTCAAAGCAGGTCTGCTTAAATCAGATTGCTTGGAGACTTGTTGAAACTTAGCACGTAGTTCTGGGGCAGTGTAAGCTTCTAGGCCACCACAGTTCTTCCTAAGGTGTGTAGAGTTTTTTTCCCCTACCTGTAGATTAGTGCTAGTGTGCATGCAGCTGTGTGGAAATCCCATTCAAGGAGTTGATGAGCTGAAAACAGCTCATTTTTCTTTGCTCTTTTTTGGGGGAAAGAGGAGTCTGGGTTTGTCTGTATTGGTTTCTGTTTTGTGCACCACTTGGTCTATGAATATAAGAAGGAATGATGGGGATGAGTGAAGAGGAAGAATACAGGCAAGGCAGTGGCATCCATAAAACCTCACACCAAATTGTTTCTTTGTACCTCAGTGGAGTACAAGCCCAGTGATGTTTATGGAGGCAGAACTGGCTGCCAAACTTTCCCAAACAAAATCATTGTTAACTTGACTTAATTATAATCTGTTTTCTTTCAAATACAGCAAGTAAACTTTCAAGAAGGTCTAAATACAAGATAAATTAGAAAGCACTGTAATTGGTTTGGGAAAAGAAACACAGAAAAAGTCTTTCAGATCACAGTAATTCTTCAGGGGTTTGAAAGTAGTTTACTGTCTTGCTTTTAGAATAAGCTATGTGACTTCTAAGCTAAATCAGCTCTCCAAACTAGAGTTCAGAAAGTAAAAGTATTGTTTAAAAGTTTTCTAGTGTGTATCTAAACATAAGTATACATTTTGTAACTTTTACGGTACTGTCCAGTACATGTATGTGTACTTTTTACTCCTCTTGCTGTCTATATAGGAGGTGAGTTTGGTTTGTTCTACCAGTGACCTTGAGTGTGTAGCTTTAATCTTGGAATAGGCTAAGCTTTTTACAGGTAGCTCTTCTGCCTGGAGGAATGGTGTGTCCAGTCGGTTTGGAATGCTTCTGTTTCACCCTTCTGGCAAAACTCTGCCTCTTCAAGAAAGTCTTTGGATGTCATTTTTGGAGACCCCAAGGATACGGGTTACAGAAATAACCCAGAGTTAAAGATGTCCTTTGTCATGGTCTGCATCTTGAGTGTTGCTGTCAGATATTAAAAGAGTTGTGGTAAACAACTAACAGCAGTTTGAAGAGCAAACTGTCCTCTTCTGAAAAAACAAACAAACAAGCAAACAAAAACCCAAGACAAAAACCCCAACCCCCCCCAAAAAACCCAGTCTCCAGTCTTGCATTATATCAAGGAATGGTGAAAAGGAACAAATTCCTTAGGTCTGCATCATGGCTGGTGCCACTTCAAATAATTTGATGTAAAGGTGTATATTACTAGCCTATGATAACATCTTTTGTCCTCTGAACTCCCTTTCATGACTTCAGGAGATTATCAGCAGTGCAGGCTTTGATTTAGGAAGGAAATTAAAATGGAGAAGTGTAGATGTCCTTTCATATTCCTGTAGTCTCTAAGTCTCAATTGTGCCTCCACAGGTGTTTGTTGGTCTAAACAATGTTGAAGTGAATATGTTTCAACAGTGTTTCCTTGGTAGAAAGGCAATAACTCCTGGTAAATTAATGTGACCTTCAGGGCAAGGATCTTGAGATGCTTGAATTTTATTGTTACAACTTGCTCCTTCAAAAATAATTCATTATTAAACATAGGTATGTGTGTACACATCTTGAAGTATGTACTTGAGGAACATATAGGGAAGGACCAGGATATTTGCTGTAGGAGAATGCTTTTAATGTCATATATGGTGAGCTCAAGTCATTTAAGCTCTTGCAAAATATCTCTGCAATGAGAACTTATGATCCAAAAGAAATGGGAAATATGTTGAACCCCCTTGTTAACCTTTACTGTTTGTTTTGGTTTTTTTTTATTTCTTAACCAGAGGTTGTTTGAAACCTGTTGAAACCACTCTACGAGAGTATTGTTTGGGTGGAAAGCTCTGATTTACAGTCCTCCATTTAAAATGGCCTGCAGTTGAAATACAGGGAAATTACGCCTGAAAAAAAAAAAAGTCTTTATTTTTTTAAATTGACAAAAAATAGCTGCAAACCCCCTTAAATTTTGAAAATGTCATCTTCTTTTCAGGTGAAAGTTATGTATGTGCATCCAATGAACCATATCGCAAAGTTGATTATACCAAGAATGTCAACCCAAACTGGTGTGTGAACATACGGACTGGGTCCACTCGAACCTTGACATCTTTGACATCCACAAAGAGTGAAGTGAAGGAGAGTAAAGATTTCATTAAACCCAAGTTAGTGACTGTTATTAGGAGTGGAGTAAAACCACGGAAAGCTGTAAGAATTCTGCTGAATAAGAAGACTGCTCACTCCTTCGAACAGGTCTTGACTGACATCACAGAAGCCATTAAGTTAGATTCGGGTGTAGTCAAGAGACTTTGTACACTGGATGGAAAGCAGGTAGGAGAATAAATTGCTGTGACCATCTGATAATTATGAATTAATCTAAGCTACTTTGTTTTCATAACTCGAATTCTTGTTACCGTATGTGCTTTAACCTGCTTCTGAATAAGGACAGTTTAATCAATGGCAAAATCTTTTAAAATCTGTATTAAAATATTAATACCTACAAAAAAATTTAAAATTGTATCTAATGCAAAAGAAGTTGACCGCTTTATGTTCTATGCAAAAAAAAAATTTTAAAAATATCATTTTCCTATACTAACTGTTGCATTGCTAAAAACGTGTCTGTTGATTAAATAATGCAGTTTACTTGAAACATTTGAAAGCAAACTTGTTAAAATACGTAGGCATTTTCAGAAGCAGGGTCATGTTTTTAGACTACTACATAGTGCTGAATGGTGTAAGAAAAATATTGCTGCCTCTCTCCGTTTCACTTCCACAGATTGCTATTTAAGTAGCAAAAGGACTGAAATGTCTTTCTGGAGGTAGTAACTGACATGATCTAAGATCAAGCATTTTATCTGAAATTACTATTTTGTGGGGGTTGGTCATATCTTTTAGTTTCACCACTGCAAAACATGCTGCAAGGATGAATGATGTGGTAGGTCTTTTATTCTCACTCAGAAGTATGAAGGAGTGGCCCACAGAATGTTCTGCTGCACCAGGTAAAAGTGTCAGGAATACATTTGCTGTTGGTCGGTCAGGTTAATGCCTCAGCCCTTCATGGAACAGGACTTTGATACTTGATACTTGTATTTGACACTGATGTGGAACTTTGACAGCATTGTGACTTCAGTAATACGGGGCAACACAGGCTGCAAAGTAGTTCAGTATCAGGTAGCTGGACTATTGTATTGTTGACTAAATATTAGGATCCTTGCTCATTCAAGAGGTATTTTTACACACCTGCATACCTATGTATTTGCATGAGCTACTTGTAAAAGTTTCAGTTGTGTTCAAACAGTTGTGGAAATTTTTATTGTCAAGCTTTTCATAAAGGTTGTAATCCCATAGACTACTTAAAAAGCACCTTTTTGTGTTGAAAGTTGCTAACAAATGTATTGCAGAACAAGTACACTTAGATTGTTTCGATATGAGGTCTGTCTCTGGTTATGTTCTTTGTGCTGTGGATACGCTTTTTATAATTAAGTACTTGAAAATAATTTCTTCTGTTCTTTGGTGTTAAATATAGCAAGGCAGATGCATCGCTGAGACTCCTGATTTTCAGTATTTGGTGGCACTGTAATGTGCTCTTTAGTTCTTCTAATAGGTTTGATTTTTAATGAGATTTGTTAACGAGATTTGTTAAGAGACAATCCTTTCTAAGAACATCTGAAATGTGATTTAGCCATGTTTAATTTAATTCATAATAAAATAGCTTTGAGGATATTTATTATACAGCAATTAGTCTCTTCTGCCCATGAAGTGTTCTGTTACTGTCTTGGATAAGATGGTTTTAATCTTCTCAAGCAAGTAGATGGAAAGAGTCAGGAAAGGAAAGTGCAAAACCTAAGATTCTCTGTTCAAATTCATCTTTTCTGTTGCATTGTTAATACAGTAGAAACTCATGGGTCTGCACTCATGTGGAAGACACAGTAGTGCATCAGAGATCAATAAAATTAATTAACATTAAATCTCACATATGTTGCTTGCACATTACTCTTGCCCATGGTGGATGACGGCTGTCTGCAGTTCACAGTGAGGATGGCCAATCATTGGTAATGCTCAAAAATAAGTATTAGATTTCTGATCGCTGCAGTACCTCCTCCTGCCCTTCCATGGTAAAGACAATAATCGGACTTGGATTGTGGATGTAGGCGTAGGTGTTCTCAAGCAGGATTGGGAAATCCCTGGTTTTCACTGCTGACAGCCTGCAAATAGCTGCTCTTTGCAACTGCCTCTCTGTGTAAAGTGTTTCAGCAGTAGTAAAATGTGGAGACCTCCCTTTCGTTTGGAAGAAAGGCCTTTTGCTTTTCCATAGACTTTGGGAAGGAGCCTTGCACAACCATAGTGTAATTGTGATTTAAGTGGTCACGGGATATAGTGCCTCAGATGGAAGACCTATGGCTTTAAACACCCTTAAAATAAAAGCTCCCTCCTGCTTATCTAGGAGGATAGAGACTTCTGGGGGTTTTTTTGTTTGTTTCTTTTTCTCTAAAATGAAGAGCTGACCCCAGTTTTAGGCAATAGGGATGTTTTTTTCTTTGTTTGTTCATTGCTGGTATATGTAGCTGTTGGTGCTCAAGGGCTTTGTGGAGTTTGGCAAATAAAGAGTTGCTTTGCTGCCAATTACCAATTGGTGGAAATTTCTGAGCCTATTTTCTCTAATGTAGTAATTGCTTATTCTTCTAAATATGCTAGGGAGGCAGATCTTTTATGTTCGTTGTAGTGTTGGCACAGCTTGAAAGGCAACCATTAAAAAAAAAGGCATTTTGTAAATGGCTGTGTTCCTATAAATGTAGCTCTTGTGTTTCTCAGGTTTTTTTTTTTTCCCTTTTCCCTATTTCTTCATATTTTTATCTCTGAGGAAATACATATTTTTTGCATTTGTTGTGACCAAATAGGTTTAGGTTGTATTCTTTGTTTAATACAGAACTGATGTTGAAATTCAGGTGTTTAAAACATGCATGTATAAAATTTGTATCCTTTTATTAGGGAATGTGTTGTTCTGTTAATTTATGGGGCAATTTTGTTTTCCAGTAGAACTAGTTAACATGTGTAGTAAGAAATTATCTTAAAACTGGTGATCTATGAATAAATCTTTTTAATTTTGAGCAGGACAACAGAAAGGATGTCCTCAAAATAGTTTTTATTTACTCTTCTGACCTCATTAATCTTGACTGTAACAAAATCTTGATGATAGTAGTTAAACAGAATAACATCCATGTCTGATATTTTCCTTGATTATTGTGTATAAAGATAGACAATTGTCTAGCTTTTAATTGTAAGGTTTTATAACATTTACAAGGTTTCCTTTATCTTCAGTTCAATATGGATGCTGTAACTTAAAATATTAGTGCTCTGTAGCCTCAAGTAAAGATTTTTTATTTTTAACTATGTTGATGCAAGTCTGGCTTTTCACTTTTAAGCTGTTGAGCAACCAACTTTTTTTACCTCCTAAGGCTTTTGTTTTTGTGATGGTTTCTATGTGAGAAAGAATATTCCTGTAAAAGTAACTAGGCTTTAACTCTGCAGTGCAGGCTTCTGCTATTCCAGTCTTTGTGCTTCTGACATTGAGGTTTGCCTGATATATTTGCTTGACCAAAGTGTTTTCCTTACTTGGCTGCATTTTTCCTTTCTATTCTTTGCTGGAGTCTGTCACTATCCCACTGTGAAGCAAGGACAGTCAGACTGAAACTTCTCCAGTTGGGAAGTTAACCCTTTGTTATCTTGGAAGAAAATGGAAGATTTCTATCTTGCTAAACCAGCTTCAAGCTTCAGTCATTGCGAAGTGTAGGGTAGCAACTTAATGGTAAATTACCTGCACTAATTGTTTAAAAGAATATAATGGGGGGGGACAGGATGACTTCCTGTGAGAAACTCAGAAAAAGACATACAGAACTATAAAGTTTGACACACAAAAGAAAATTAAATCTTCACTCTGTGAAGACAGTAACTTTTTAAGCTTGCATTGTATGGAGTAATATCCATAACAGGATTGAAAAGGTGGATGAGCCACCTTTTCCATACTCCATTCCCAGAATAGTGAGAACATACTACAAATAAGGTCTTTTTTGATCTGCCACAAGTATGTTGGTGGCTATCTCTGAAACCAAAAGCTCCCTAATTTTCTGTTAATGAAGTTTTTCATTAGGTGCTCATTAAGAGTAAATGGGTAACTGAAGAAAACAGATACTACATTTGGAAGTATTCATGAGACTCATCATGCCCTCCTCTCAGTAATTTTTTTTTTTCCAGTGGCAGATTTGAAAATTTTTAGTAGAGGTGATAACTTCTGTAAACTGAATTTGTATTTGCTTTGTAATGAAAATACTAAGGAGACCCACTGAAGCTATTAGCATACCCATCATAGAGGGCAGAAACCAAAACAAGGGATGAGCAGAAGAGATCTTATTTACTAGTACAACTGATATTCCCCATATTCTTGTTTCAGTTCTTTTGGCACATGGGCTTCTGGCATTTAGATCTGAAAATCTCCATTAATATAGAGATTTTACTAGAAACTTAATCTTGGTGAGAGCTGACTGTGTGGTGCCGAGACAAGTTTTGGAACATATGAATTTTAGTTTTCTCAGTTTTCCAGTTTTGTTTGCGAAGTCATACTTGGATGAGATTTCTTTTTTTTAATAATTTTACTGCAGTTAACAGAGTGGTTTTAATAAATATTTACCTTTAGCTCAATTCTCTCCTACCTAATGACAGTGGAAAGGCTACTAGGTTTTCAGCTGTGTCTTACTAATCAGCAGTACACTTTTTTTTTTTTTTTTTTTTAAAAGAACCAGGCACTATGAGTTAGGTGTACTTTTCTTTTTTGTGTCATTTACTTATTGTTATATCACTGTCTGATATCTCATTGCAGGCTGAGAAACAGGTCTCAGGCTCTAACCTAGTATAGGCACTTTCACAGATGTATTGGAAATAGCACAGATTTGAATTTCTGCTACAGGCAATTTTGCAAGAACACAGAAAGCGCCAACTTTTGAGCAGTTCTATTTCTGATGAAATTTAAAACAGCACTTTAAGCTGAAATGTTGCATTCACCTGCAAGTATGAGGGTAGAAAACCTTTAAGCCCTTGCATTCCTCAGAACTCTTAAAAATGGTTATATATTGTTATTAGAGGAACGTCAGTGGCAGCTGCAAAGGGAGTGAGGCTCTGCATTGCAGATCCCACAGAAGTTTGGCATTTGTGGGCAAAGAGTCTTTCCTCACCTAGCTTCCAGACTTGAACAGTAATGATAGTCCCTTCATTCATCTTAACGGCTGAAGGTCAGAAGAAGTAGAGTCAACTTTTAGAAAGCAATTTAAAATTTGCCA